AGCATATCTTTAGTATTTTCGATACACACTCTCGCGCGTTAGAGATAAAAATGCTTTTTATTTTCGTACAGTGTTACCATTGCTCGCTTTGAAATCGTTGAGTTTTTTTAATCAAAAATTCGTTACAAAATATGAAATAGATAATAAAACGAATTCCAAATTTGGGCTTCCAGATGCCCGTATTCGGAGGAGGATTACTCCAAAATTTGATGGCTTTAGTTACCGTACATAACATACTTTTACGCAGATTCTTCATTATTTAATTCCATTAAATATAACACACGGCGATAATGTTTGGCCGCAACAATCGTATTTCTTATGTCGCTGTTTTTAAGAGATTGGCATATTTCATTGTTATTTATATATATATATATATAATACAATTTATTGATTTTTTTTATAACTTTGCTCTGCAGAGTAAAATTCTATGCGGAATTTTATGTTTTTTGAGTTGCTTTCATGTTATTTTTTGCTTATTTCACTATTTATAAGATATTGAAAAGTTTTGCATGATTTTTTTTTTTCTGGACAAGTTATTTATGGTAACCAATACTTTATTGTCATTTTATTTAAAAAATAATGAGTTTTATTATGCATAAATTCCGTGTTTTAAATATTAGTTATAGCTTCTAAATATTAAAAATCAATTTAATTTTGCATTTTTATTTGAAATAAAAATTTTATTGTTTATGATATTTTATATAATTTTATGCTGTGAATGATGTAATGAATGACGTCACCTTACTTTAAGAGTAATTGTTTTTAATATCTGTAAATTTAATCTAATGTTTTAAATATTTATGGCTGTTAAATATTAAAATACAATTTAATTTTGCTTTTTTTTAAAAAATGATTTTATTATGTATGATTATTTAAATAATTTTAATTCTATGCGTGATGTAATCAGCCCCCTGATTGGTTACTGAATATTTGTACATTACTGCGCCATTTTAAAATTTTATTATTCATCTCTTCGAATTCCTTAGATTCAAAGCGAATGGATATGTCCGTTTCGAAGATGAATGTTGTTATTGGTAATTACCAAGAATTATCGGTATCGTAATCAAAAAATTGTCATTTGAGATCTTATTTTGGCCAACCTGGCTTCCCTAATCAAAGGTTTATTTATAAATTGTTACAAGGGTCAGAGGAAATTTATTTTAAATTTTTGGAGGAAACCTCTCTAATTGCTTCTTCAATGAAGTGCGAGAGATGTGGATTACAGGTGAAGATCGTTAAAAGAGCCGATTCTCAGGACGGACGTGTATGGTATTGTGGTCACGGTGGTAGAAATAACCGCTGTAACGGTTAAAAAAGTATTAGACATTCCTCCTTTTTTACCAACAATTTTTTTCATTTATATCTAAATTATGATTCCTATTTTTTTGTGGTAGTTATCAATATACGAGAGGTAAAATACTCAAAAAATGTAAGTACATATTTTTCTTTTACTTTATAACTGTATACTTCAATTTTTATTAAAATATTAGGTACATCTCTGATATACGCTCTAATTTCACCAAATGTGGCGATATGTGTTTTGCGCTGGTTTTTGGCGCGATTGCGTGTTGTATGGCAACCCTGTTGACGTTGAAAAATCTTTCGCTGGAGTTCGTTGGTTCCCGTCATGCTTTGTGTCCGAGAAGCTAGGGGGGAAAGATTTAATGGTGAAAGTTGTTGAATTGAAGTTCGGCATAAGGAAATATCGTCGACGCCATCCTGTTGAGGGGCAATGGGTATTTGGAGGTGTGGAAAGAAGGTATGGGAGATTATTTTTAGTGGCTGTGCGTGATAGAAGTAAAGATTTGTGATTATTTTTTATTTTATTTATTTGTGAACCATAGTATGAATTTTCTGGATAGTGTGTCTGGCTGTCATATAAATACGATAGTGATTACGTGGCGCATGTTAAAGGCGGTATGAAATTGGTATTTCTGCTGTTCGAAAAAGCATTAATGGTAAGTGCATTTTGTTTTATTCTTGTTCTTATTTTGTAGAATGTTATTTTTCATTGTTTTTTTAGTATGAATTTCTGTCGTTATCGTTGTTTTTTTCTGAATAAATTTCAAAAAATTTATTTTAGTTATCTTGTTGATTAGTGCGTACCGTCTAAATTGTGCAATTCGTAGATGCTTTTTAAAGTTGAAACAGGACGCTGTGTACATGGTATTCTTTGAAATTTATTGTTGTTATGTTAATTTATTAAAGTGAGGTGTGCACAGTTCGTAGATTCTTTTGTTGCCTAAATTGTGCAATTCGTAGATGTTTTTTTAAGTTGAACCGCTGAACAAGCTGAAGGATGCCGTGTACATGGTATTCTTTGAAATTAATTTTTGTTATGTTAATTTATTAAAGTGAGTTGTGCGTAGTTCGTAGATTCGTTTGCTGCCTAGATTGTGCAATTCCGTCAGATTTTTTTTTAAGTTTAAACAGGATGCTGGTGTGCACATGGTATTCTTTGAAATTTATTATTGTTATGTTAATTTATTAAAGCAACGTGTGCGTAGTTCGTAGATTCATTTCGTTGCCTAGATTGTGCCATTCATAGATGTTTTTTAAGTTTAAACAGGAATCGCTGTGTACATGGTAGTCTTTGAAATTTTTTATGTCAGTTTATTAAAGCGAGGTGTGCACAGTTCGTAGATTCCTTCGTAGATGTTTTTTCAAGTTAAAACATATCGCTGTGTACGTGGATTCTTGTGAAATATTTTTGGTTAGAAACTTTGTGTTTTAGTTATCTAAATTTTTTGTTTTGGATTTTTAGCTTAAGTTGTGTGTTCAAAACGTGGTTTTTGCATGTGCAAAAAGCATGTTTTTTTGAGATATTTTAGGCTCAAAGTTTGAAATGTAGACAAAAAATTTAGATAGCAATATGGCAGCGTGGAGTTACTCGCCAAAAATATTTGGCGCCTTGAGGGCGCATATCAGAGTAGTTCCAAAAATTAACATACTGTTTTCAAAAATTTCTGAGATATTTATTGCCACAAAGGTTTAAATGTTAAATAATTATATACTATAAAACGTATTTAAAGTACTTGAATTTAAGTAATATTTTAAATCTGTTAAATTTTGGTATGATGTTTTTAATTCGATATTCAATTTAAGTAATATTTTAATCAAATTAAACGTTGGCGCAATGTTTTTATATCAGTGGTTTTATTCTATTTCTTTGCTATATGAAAGAATTAATTTAACCTTACTTTAATATTTTATACTCTTAGTAAATGTATTTATTTACATTTGCCAGCCAACTTAAAAAAACAACGTTTTCAACGAAAAGTTAATCCATTATTTTAAACGATATTCATTTTTTTTAAATTTCAAATACTTTACTCTGCGTAAAATACGTAAAAACAGCTTTTTTCAAGATGGCTGACGATTGTAAAAACCGTGCCAACAATTGCGCCAATGTAAATCGCCAAAAATCCGTGCAACTGGTCTACCAAAGTAGCGCCTTATAATTTCAAATTTAAACGCATCTTAACCCAGGTAATTGGTTAATTAAATTTAAATTTACGTCATCTAACAGTCTCAAGATGAACAAACATTTGAAAATACATCAGTTTGAAAACACAGGAGCAGTCCTACGGTGACAACGTCTGGAGCTCCTTCTGGTGCTACTTTGGTAGACGGTTGCACGGATTTTTGGCGATTTACGTTGGCGCCATTTCTTACAATCGTCAGCCATCTTGAAAAACGCTGTTTTTACGCATAGTAAAGTATTCGAAACTTTAAAAAAATAAATATCGTTAAAAGTAATGGATTAATTTTTTGTTTAAAATGTTTTTTTAAGATGGCAGGCAAGTGTAAATAAATACATTTACTATGAGTATAAAATACTAATGTAAGGCTATTATTACTTTCATATAGCAAAAAAGAGAATAAAAACACAGCTATAAAAACATTGTGCCAACGTTTAATTAGATTAAAATATACTGAAATTGAATATCGAATTAAAAACCATCCTACCAACATTTAAAAGAAATAGAATATTATTAAATTCAAATACTTTTAAAGTACGTTATATAAAATATAATTAACATTAAAACATATGTGACAATAATTATCTCAGCAATTTTTAAAAATAGTGTATTAATTTTTTTTAACAAAAATGAAGTATACAATTATAAAAATAAAACAAAAAGTGTACTTAAATTTTTTTTGAGTAATTTAATCTTGTTTATTGATAAGTACACAAAAAAAAATCGAAATCATAATTGAATCGGCTCTTTTTAACCATCTTCATCTGTTATCCATATCTCGCACTTCATTGAAGAAGCAATTAGCGAGCTTTCCTCCAAAAATTTAAAATAAATTTCCTCTGATGCTATTAACAATTTATAAATAAATCTTTGATTAGGAAAGACAGGTTGGCCAAATAAGGTCTCAAAGGGCAATTTTTTTATTCCAATACCAATAATTCTTGGTAATTACCAATAACAACATTCATCTTCGAAACAGAGATATCCATTCCATTTGAAATCTGCCGAATTCGAAGAGATGAATAATAAAATTTTAAAATGGCGCGGTAATGCACAAATATTCAGTAACCAATCATTGAGTTGATTACATCATGCATAGAATTAAAATTATTTAAATAATCATTCATAATAAACTCATTTTTAAAACCAAATGCCAAAATTAAATTGTATTTTAATATTTAACAGCCATAACTAATGTTTAAAACATTAGATTAAATTATAGATATTAATAAAACCAATTACTTTTTAAGTAATGACGTCATTCTTATATCATAAACAACAAAACATTATATAAAATATAAACACAAAATTTTTTTAAATAAAATTAAAATTAAATGATTTTAATATTTTAGAAGCCATAAATATATTTAAAACACGGAAGTTATGCATAATAAAACGCATTATTTTTTAATAAATGACAACAAAGTATCCGTTACCATAAATAACATATCCAGCAATGGGTTTACCATAAGTTTTATTACTCGCCAAAAGAAAAATCGCCAAAATCCGTGCAACCGTCTACCAAAGTAGCACCCTCCTTCGTAATTTCCTGCGCCCACAAGATTTTCTTCGACGAGACTTTCCTCTTTTAGGACATGCATTCCTTCTCCTACGCCTATGGCCTTTTGGAGCCCCTTCCAATTTGGGGCCTCTCCCTCGTCTTCTTCTGCGAGAACTTCTGCGACGTCTTCCACTTTCCATGACTTTGTAATGTCCATATAGCTTTGATAAAATGCCACAATCTAAGGCACTCTTCAGGAATAATTTAAGTCTCATCGCTGAATCAAAGAAGTAAGACTTGAGATCCCGAAGTGTGGCGCCTTTTGTGCCTTGAAGTTTGCGGATGACATTCAGAAGCATACGTCTCAGTCCAGTTTGAAGTTGGGCATTCTTCTTCCTAACCATTCCTGAAATTTTTTTTTGGGCTTGTTTAAGGAAATGAACTTTGTTTTTCTTCACATTCATCATTTAAATAAGGAAGTATTGTTTATTATAAATTATTGAAGTGGTTAATTAAAATGTTGATGCGCTGAGATAAATTTCAGATGACAAGTTGAAAATGGCGACTGAATTGGCGAGAAGAATTTCATATAAACGCGAAAGCGATCTCGTGGATGAAATATGTGCATGATTTGAGGTTTAACAAGGAACAGTTGTTAACTAATATTTAATACAAGAGGTTTTAATTCATCAAATAAGAAAATATTTTAAACCGCGAGAAATATTTAACTAAAATTTCCTTTTTAAAGTATTATTATTTTAACTTTAAAGGTTTGATCTTTATGTTGGCAAGAGTACCATAATTAATAAACTGTCTAGTGTGGTAAATCATATTGATGAATTACATCTTTGAGAAAACTGGTGATTTCAAATACTGTTGAAACATTCGGGTAGTACGTTGAAGCAGCCATCGCAAAGTCTTTTGCGGGATCTGAAATATGACCATTTTAGATTAGACTATCAGAGTATCAAGTTTCCGTGTTTTTGGCTACTGTTTTAATGATAATACAGTAAACTCTCGCTACAACGATACCCGATACAACAATAACTCCCTCTACTACAATAATGTTTTGTGGTCCCGGTGATTTTGCATATAAACTAATGTTAATTTCCCCTCAATATTGCTATATTCTCTAGAACAATAAACCTCTGTAAAACGATTTTTTCAAACTAAATTTCAGTATTATTTTCTCCCTTTATAATAATATTTTGATTTTCAAATGCTTTTTTTTTTTTTTCGTTTTCTTTTGTTATTTTTCCGTCTATTAAGACTCATTGTGGATATTCAACTTATCCCTGATAAATAGCTATTGTTCAGATTTCAAAACAGATGAAGACCACCTTTTGGGGAATTGGAGGGGTGAGGGGGGTGAAGTGTAAATATATGCCTAGTCTCATTTCCCAGTAAGCTTTGGAATTCTGATAAGGTTTAAGGACATCTAGACCTGTCTGGTCACCTTGTCACAGAACAAGTGCCCTTTGTTAGAGGAACAGGGGGAGATGAAGGCGGGGTGTTGTTAAGTAACGTACTGAAAAGTGAGTTCAAAGGTTGTTTTATAGTCTTTAACGATTTTGAGTTCTACGCGAAACATTTGGTTTAAACTTTTCTTTCTTTCACGCAATATTGTTCCCTAAGATGGCAGGGCGAAAGCAACTATCTTTTCGACATAAACTGAACGTTATCAATGATATTGATGAGAGAATGAAGCAGATTGATGCTGCTAAGAAACATGGATTATCCCAATCTACAGTTGCAACGTTCCTAAAGAAGAGAAAGCAAATCAAAGATGCTGTAACTTCAAATGAAATTAACCCAGAGCGAAAACGACTGAAAGTTGCGACAAATGAAAACATTGATGCTGCTGTTTTAAAATGGTTTCAAGAGATGAGAGCAACAAATGTCCCAATAAATGGGCCTTTATTATGTGCAAAAGCACGGAAATTTGCAGCAATGCTAGGGAACGAAACTTTCAAAGCTAGCAATGGTTGGTTAATGCGTTTTCGAGATCGTCATGGAATAACTTTCCAAGAAGATCACGGAGAGAAAAAGTCAGCCCCGATAAACGACGCAAATGAATGGCGGCAAAATAAGATGAAATAAATCTTAGAAAAGTATGCTCCAGAAGACATTTATAATGCAGATGAACCTGGGCTGATTTTCCAACTCCTACCTGATCGAACATTGGCATTCAAGGGTGAAAAGTGTTATGGAGGGGAAGTAATCAAAGCAGAGACTGACTGTTCTTCTGTGTACAAATAGCACAGGAACGCATAGAATACAACCTCTCGTCATTTGTATATCATTGAAGCCAAGGTGCTTTAAGAACGTGAAAAGTCTTCCCGTGGAGTATAAAGCAAATAAGAAGGCTTGGATGACGTCTAAATTTTTTTCCGAATGGTTACAGAAGTTAGACAATGAAATGAAGAAGAGAAAGAAAAAAATCGTTTTGTTGATAGATAACTGAGGTTAAGACACAATAACACGCCGAATAAATACTAATTCAGAAGTCAAACAACAAAAATCAGCGTTATATTTACAAAATTTTCACAGGACTAGATTCGATGGTTTTACCGAACCACCATCCTCAGCTGCAAAACCGCAAATGAACAAAATAGGAAATAATGATTAGATAAGAAAGCCTGGACAAGAATAAGCAAGTGGCGCCATCTCTTGGTGAAACCAGAACTAAAACATAATTTCCTTAAAGGCCGAAGGCAAATTTGGATTGGAATTAGGATCGTTAACTAGAACAGAAAGATTTTTATGAATGTGAAATGCCTCTAGAAAATCCAGTTCTCCAATGGAAGATGTTTTTTGAATAATTTTGGCAGCAGAAAAATTGAAAGTGTGGTTTTCGGACCAACAATGTTGAGCAACAGAAGACTTCTGTGTTTCCTTTTTTCTAACATATGCCTCATGTTCCTTGACGCGAAATTTTAAGGCTCTCTTAGTTTGGCCAATGTAAATTAAACCACACTGGCAAGGAATCCTATAAATACCCCAGGAATTCATATCAGGAATGGGGTCCTTGAGTATCGAACTCGGAATTTTATTGATGGGAGAATAAACAACCCGAAAGTTAAATTTCTGCAAAATATGTGCAACCCTATAGCTAATTGATGGAAAGAAGGGAATAACAACAGAATTTTTATAATCTCCTAAAACAAGAGTGTGTCTTTTAGTGTGTTGAGATGAGAATTTTTTAACTGCTTGATTAATAATGTTGGGTGGAAAGCCCCTGTCAATAGCTATTGCTTTTAAATAATTTAGTTCTTCATCAAGGGCTAGTTTAGAGAAGCAAACTTGAAGAGCACGGAAAACATAGGAATAAAATGAAGCTAACTTTTGTTTAGTCGGATGACATGATTTAAAGTGTGGTGAAAGGCAAACCGAGGAAGGTTTACGGTAAACCGCAGTACTGAAGTTGGATGTGTTACGTGTGACCAGAATGTCGAGAAACGGAAGAGAATTGCAAGTCTCAAGTTCAAAAGTGAACTGAATAGCAGGATCAAGAGAATTCATTGTTGAAAGAACTTTATTTAAATCATCTTTATTACCTTCAAACAGAGTAAAAGTATCGTCTACGTAGCGGAACCATGCCGGGAAGTTTAAAGTTTCAAACAATTTTGATTCATAATAATGCATGTAGATATCAGCCAGGATGGGACTGAGGGGGCTTCCCATGGCTAATACCTCAGTTTGCTTGTAATATTTATTTTGGAAAACAAAATGTGTTTGTTTCAAACAGAGTTGAGTGAGAGAAATTAGCTCATTAATTTCGATGCACCAGAAATGAAATTCGCGAAGTCTGGTTTCTAGACATCTTAATGCACCCTCCACTGGGACATTGGTGAATAATGATTTTACATCAAAAGAAATTTATATGTTTGTAAATAATTTTAGTGAAATTATATGTGAAAGATTAGTATCTATTGTACAATGTAACATGAAGCGCCTGAAGAGATCGAAGCTCTTCCAGATAAATAAGATTACAGGATCAAGTCTATTGAACACTGAGGTAAGTAGCTATCTCACTACACTGGCAAGATATCGCCAAGTCTTGGCCGCTAATTTTTGTCGACAAATTTTGCGGGAAAAAAACCAAAAGCTGAAAATTTTCGTTACCATTTGGCGATATTTTTATCTATCGCCTGTATAACTGTAATTGAATAATTATAATTGATCCCTGTATGTAACTGTAACGGTATGTATCCCTTATTTGTAACTTTACCGTATAATTCCTCCCATTAATTTCGAGAAACGGAAGGTGCTGGAGATATCTCGGCGACCGAGGTAAAGCCCGAAGAGATTATTATTAGCCCGAAGAGAGCACAAGTTCTCATTTTTTAGCTTTTGGTTCAGAGCTGACTTTGGGGTATTCAGAGAGAGTTTGGCCTTTTAGATGCGCTTTGAATTGTGTTGTTTTAAACGTTCTTAGTATTTTGAAGTATAACTACTGATTGTCTGTGATACTGAGAAGTGTTGTACGAGTACTTTTGTGGAAAATTTCCAGAAGTTCCTTCCCATTTGTGCAAACTTTATCAAGCTATCATCGGTTCTGCTTGCATTTAATTCTTTGCGAACCCGTACTCAAGTAACAATATTCATTGAGTAGAAAGTTAAAACAGGGTCGCCCTCCTGTAATGGATAGTGAGAAAGATTTAGTACGTAGTGAAAAAAAAGTTAGTTTTTTTGTTTGATTTTGTAACTGTATATACTTCTTTTACATTAGTAACCAATTTAGTTAATTGTTAATGAGTATACAATTTTATTTGTTGTTAGGTAATTGGAAATTATTTTCTTCAAAGTTGGCTCCTTATATCCCTCTTTTGTTGAGAGATATGAGCATTTGTGTCATTGCAACTTGCAAATACTTGTGATTGTTTTGCCAAAACGTTTCGAAACATTTCCGCAGTGAAATCTCAAAGAACGCTTTGATGCCAGAAGGACAAGTGGTGCTGGTTTTCCCTTCTGTACCTTAAGGTGGCTTTGGAATTGCTCTTTATTGCAGTAAATGCCCACCGATTACACTTTCCTTCGTAACACCTCCCTTCCTTCCTAAACTGTCTGCCGGCAAGACCATATATATGTGAATAGCAGGAGTGAGACAACTCAACTTGACTAACTGTATTGCATAAGATGGACGATGGAAGAGAAGGATAACAGTCATGCTTTCGGCTAAGACAAAATGATGTATCAACAATGATGTAACTTCTCAATCATCACTCTTTTGTTTTTCATTTTGTAAATAGTTATTAATGTAGCTCCATCAATACTTAAATACAATAATTTAGTCACCTAGATGTCATAAATTAGTCACTAGATGTGTGTCGTCATAGATCCCCTAGACGCCGAGTTCACATGGTATCAGAAGTTCGCCAGTATCGAGTTCACATGGTATCAGAAGTTCGCCAATACCGAGTTCACATGGTATCAGAAGTTTGAGAATTGGAGGCTCCCTTCAGCCCACCTGGACACAAGTGTCCCCATAGCTCAAAAGAAGGGGCCCCCGAGTTCACATGGTATCAGAAGTTCGCCAATATCGAGTTCTCATGGTATCAGAAGTTCGCCAATACCGAGTTCACATGGTATCAAAAGTTCGCCAATATCGAGTTCACATGGTGTCAGAAGTGACCGGTTCTTCTTCAAGGAAGGTAAGCTAGTTTTTAAGAATCAAATAAAGAGTCTTTAGAATTCAGTTTTGATGAAGTAAAACTAAAAAATCTTTTGAATTCAATTTTGATGAACTGAAACTGTATTTTTGCCATCCGAACTTACTGTGTTAAAACCAGAACTTTTGTTTTGAATTCGAAATGGATCAATTCGAAAGCCGATCTCACTGCGAATTCGCTACAATTAATAACCGCACTAAGTAAATAACTATTAAAAAAGTGAACTGAGATGTTTTGATCCGGCTTTTATAAGATTTTTAATCATGGACGAGAACATTCTGGTATTTTCTCGAGGTTTCTGGAAAGCAAAAGAGTACAATTACGAGATATCTATTTCTTAAATGTTAAATGGAGTACACCTGTATTTTTGCATTTTAGACGTAGCTTTGTCTTAAAACTAGTCACGCGCTGCATTGCATTGGAAAAAAAATATTTTAAATGCAAAATTCATAACAATATCAAGAAACTATTATTTTTATAGGAAAGTATATACTGATGGCTATCATGAAATGATTTTTCAATTTAATTGTGTAAGATTTGTTTCAATTGCAATAACAGAGCTAAATGTCTGTTCGTCTAATTTCAATATTACATTTTTCTTCGATCATTAACATCTAGGAAGAAAAATCCTATGAGGATCAATGAAAAATTATTAATTCTGAAATTAGGATTTACAGTTATGATTGTAACTTTATTTCAATTTAAATTCCGTAAAAAATATCTAATTTAAATCTTTTGCTTGGCTATAGGAATTTTGCCCTACGTCTGGGAAGACTTCAAAAGTTTTACATGAACTGTATGTATTATAATTAAATACTCTAAAATATTTCATCAGTTAATTTTGGATACAGAAACGCAGTGGTTTTGAAATGGAAGGGGGATTTTAAACGAGTGTGATGTATCTTCCTCTTAATAACGTTATATCAGATTTAATTGAATTTCTCTTCTTCTATGATTTAAGTTTTTTATTTCGAGCTTCTATAATTTTTAGATTTTTTTCCCACATATCTTTAATTTTTATTTTGCATATATTTGTAGGATATTTTGAAATTTATAGGTATGAAAAATACACCCTGGAATTTTCTCGAGGTTCCTGGAATGCAAAAGTGTACAATTACGAGATATCTCTTTATTAAATGTGATTAAATGTTAAATGCGCGTATTCCTGTATTTTTATTTTTTTGGCGTAGCTTTGTCTTAAAACTCGTCACGCGGTGCATTGCACAGGAAAAGACAGCAGAAAAAAAAAAATAAATAAATGTAAAATTCGTAACAATATCAAGAAACTATTGTTTTTATGGTTATGTATGTATTGATGGCTATCGCGAAATGATTTTTCAATTTAATTTTGTAAGATTTGTCTTAAAACGTGTCAAGCGCTGCATTGCACCAGGAATTGAACTAATTTTAATTACAATTCTATTAAAAATAGCAAACTAAATACAAAGACCGCTACAATAATATGAATTTTATGCATTGTAAACAAAAAAATATTTTTTCAGTAGCATTATTAATTTTCTTCTTTTATACATAATAACAGATTATGTACCGCATTAGAGGCTAATTATAAATGCTTTAAATGAATTATTAACTTCTCTTTTGTATGAAAATCAATTTGAATTTTTTGTTACCAATTATGTCCAAAAGTTCTGAAATTTAATATTAAAGCTCTACTGATAACTTTTTCTTTTCGGCAGTTATGGGCAGAAATAACATAGCATTTTAAAAATTCTTCAACATAATCCATAAAACAGATTTTATTAAAATCAAATTGGCAACACTACGGTTATTTTAAATTAATTTCGTTACTTAAGTATTATCTAGTCAATCGCTGGGGGAATGGTGGGGCAACGTTCGTCAGTGGTTACAGCCGAAAACATCGCGGCAAAAACATCGCGGACGGAAACGTCGCGGAGAAAACAACGCAAGGCGAAAACGTCGTGCTACAAAACATCGTGGGAGAAAACATCGCAAACAGAAAACATCGCAGTTCTAAAACATCGTGGTACAAATCATCGTCGTCGAATAAAATAAAGTAATAAGTAAATAGATATTCCCATAATGATTTGTGAGCGCAAAATGGAAAGAAGTATAATTTTTACTTTCACATTTTTTTATTAACTAATAAATTTTTTCTGAAAAAGTAAGAAGGAAACTTAAGCATAACAAATTAATGCAACTTATAACAATTAATAGAATTTTAAACCGACATAGTTAACTAACAAAGGCCATTAATAAATCATTTTTTATAAAGTTTTTACTGGTAATTTTTCATGAAAAGTATAATCTATAAGTTGCATTTAATTTTCTATGCTTGAGTTTCCTTCTTACGTTTTTCAGAAAAAATTATTAGTTAATAAAAATGTGAAAGTAAAAATTATCCTTCTTTACATTTGCGCTCACAAATCTTTATGGGAATATTATTTACAGTTATTAAAGCATGTATGGAAAAAGCATGTCTGCAATGTTATCGTCATGCGATGATTTGTAGATACTTTATTTTTTACCACGATATTTTTGACGACGATGTTTTTAAACTGCGAAGTTTTTGAACCGCTTTATTTTCGACGACGATGTTTTGTACCACGATGTTTTAGGACTGCGATGTTTTCTCTTTGCGATGTTTTCTCCCACGATGTTTTGTAGCACGACGTTTTCGCCTTGCGTTGTTTTCTCCGCGACATTTTCGTCCGCGATGTTATCGGCGGACACCTCGTCAGTCGTTACTGTGGAACTCTAAAGGAAGAGATCATTCATTAACTGGAGCTAAACTACGCCACTTGACCTGTGGACGAGATAATACAAATGTACATTAATTTGAATTATTCTATGTTAAAAAATTTATAATTATTGTAGTTATGAATTACATACACATTTAGCGTAAACTGGTTTTGTTTAGCATAGATAATCTGAGTGTATGTTTTTAAGAATTTGATTTAATGATAACAAAATAATATATTGAGATACATCTGTTAGCGTTCTAAAGGACCTCTCTTAAAATTGAACTATGTTTTTACTCTGCAAAATTAAGAGATAATCATAAATATTCTTACTTCTTGCATACTTTGCATTATAACCTTGTAACACACTTTTATTTTAATGGAACTTGTTTTGATTAAACAGTAAAATTCGCTGAAATATTTCTTAGAACTTTCAAAATTTCTAATTTTTCCCTCAATATAATTATGATTTAATATTCCTTCTCACCTGAGCCGAGGCAGCTGGTTTTGTACCTTTAATGACGCGATAATTGCTTGCAAATATTTTTATGTAAACTGCACTCGAAACAAATTACAAATCTCGTACTAGTTTGCCTAAAGTAAAATACCTTCATTATCTGTTAAATTTAGCTAATTATATACATCAGTTATTAATATTAAAAAAAAAAAACCTTTTCACTTATTTTTTTTTGTATCAAAATATATTTCCAGTCCGAATTGTACATTTGATGTGATTCTATCAATTGCATTTCAAATTATTATAACGACTTTGGAATTTGGGTTTAATTATCCTGAATTGCAAAATTATATATACTTTTAAATTTCTGTTGTCTTTTCTAGTTTCATAATAAAATAATAAGTCATTTAGGTTAGTCTGGAATTTTCATGACTGAGAAGGAAATAATAATAAATAATGCAAATTTTGTTTTGAGATTTTAAGACAATTTTCTCTAAACATAACACTTTATTTTAACACTGATTTTTTCAAAATCTTAATGTACTATTATTTTCAGAAAAATTGAAGTTAAATTTAAATTTATGTCAGCTAACAGTCTCAAGATAGACAAAATTTGAAAATGCATCAATTTTGCGTCTGGAATTTTCTCTCAGTTTTCATCTTTGCTGATTTTTGTTACAATGCAGTGGCCTTCAAACTTCTTCGGCAGGAGCAGTTCTACGGCGACGACGGCTGGAGCTCCTTCGTGATTTCCTGCGTCCAGAAGATTTTCTTCGACGAGACCTTCCCCTTTTAGGAGATGCACTCCTCCTCCTGCGTTTGCGGCTTTTTGGAGCCCCTCCCGATTTGCCTCGTCGTCTTCTGCTAGAACTTCTGCGACGTCTTCCTCTCTCCATGACTTTGTAATGTCCATCTAGCTTTGATAAAATGCCACGATCTATGGCACTCTTCAGGAATAATTTGATTTCAGCGTCATTGGAATTGACATCCATCTTCTGATTGCTGTGTAAGTAAGTCTTGACATCCCGAAGTGTGGTGCCTTTTCTGCCTTGAAGTTTGCGGATGGCATTCAGAAGCATACGTTTAAGTCCAGTTTGAGGTTGAGCATTCTTCTTCATACCCATTCGCGATAATCCTTTCTCGGTTTCTTTAAGGGAGTGAACGTTGTTCTTACTCATATTCATCATTTAAATAAGGTAGTAATATTTATTATAAATTATTGAAGAGGCGAATTAAAACGTTGATGCACTGAGAGAAAATTAAGCTAACAGTTTGAAAATGGCGATTGCAACGGTGAAAAGAATTTCATACAAAAGCAAGAGCGATCTCGAGGATGAAATATGTGCATGATTTGAGGTTAACCAACGAATAATTGTTAGCTAATACTTTTACACACGAGCTTTTAATTCACCAAATAAGAAAATATTTTAAGCCACGAGAAATATTTAATTAAAATTTCGTGTTTAAGCTATTATTATTTGTAACTTTATAAGTTTGATTTTAATGTTGGCAAGAGCACCATACTTAACAAACTATGCAGTGTGGTGAATCATATTGTAGAACGACATATTTGAAAATCTGGTGATTGCAAAAAGTGTTGAAACATTTGGGCACTACTTTGCTGAAGCGGACAACGTCAAAGACTTTGGCTGTATCTGAAATATGTCCATTTTAGATTAGACTACCAGTTTTGGGCTAATAAATGAAGAATCGCTTTAGTAAGGAAGTACAATTGCATTTTTAATGATAATATTGCTACGAAGTGTACAGGCGTGGTAAGACAGCTTCCCACAAAGCAGTTTTAAGGTTGCCATAAAATGGCAAGTGAAGGCAAAGTTGCCACGTCTGGGGAGAAATCGCCCATTTGGCGACAAATTTCGCGATATGCTATGGACGGATGAAGAACCTTCTAGAACGAATTTTTATCGGTTTTTCCCAGAATGTTATCGAACACAAGCCGAAACTATATAAACCCTACTGGTCGCAGTCAGTTAGGGTGCCTCGTCAAGTGCGAGATAGTTACTGTCTCGAGTTAGTCAGTCCGTGAGCAGTCGATCGAGTTGACAGCCGGGCAGCGAGTGCCCAGTGGGTCGTCGAGTGCATCGAGGAGTCTTTTAGTGTATCGCGGTTAGTGCATGGTTAGAGAGTGTGTTAAGCTCCGGGAACGACTGGACCGAAGAGTCGGGAGCTGTGCTCTGTGTGTCATGGAGTGCATCGCGAGTTGTAGCGTAGAGAGTCTCGAGAGAACATGGAGCTCCGAGAACGACCAAGCAGAGTCGGGGGCTGTACTCTGGTGCTTTGCAGTTAAGCTGTCTTCACCGTGATAGCCTGATTGCCTGAAGGCTGTGTCGCTCATTGTTCTAGCGAGTTTATAGTAGATCTTCGACGATTGTAAAACGTGACTTTGAAGCTGTCCTGAGTAAATTGGTAAATAAAGTGTGTTTCGGTACTTCATCAAGTGTCGTCGTTATTCACTCCAAATCCGCACGAACCCCATACAAACATGAAAGAAGAAAATAACGCAACAACTGGTGTCAGAAAAAAAAACGGAACAATATTTAACTTTTATTAACTTTATTAAACTTTTAAAAAATTTTAATAAACTAAAAATTTTTAATTTATTAAACTTTTAAAAATCTCGCAATTTCCTTTTTGTGCTGTTTAAAAATTTAATGTAACAAACATAATAATTCCTATAACTTAAATTATTTTACGTCTAAGAACATGTAACATGCACAAGATTTTTATTTTGCCATTCTTAACATGTCTTCAAAATACAAAATTCGTATTTCTGCAGAAAATAAATCCAACAAGAATATAAGACATATGATATGAAGTGGGGTGGTGAAAAGTTTTTGTTGCAAACTTTTAGTCATACAAAGAAAGAATTAATATCATATGTGTTACAGTAATGCTAAATACACACATGATAGTTTTATCAAACAATTTATTTTAAAATAAAATAAAACAGAAAACTAAATTGAATAAAAGTTTCTTTAGTTAAACTTAGAAAAGTTAAAAAGTACATTTCACTAGTGGAACTAGATTTTACTTTAAAATGTAATCTAGGAATCCCTTCAGTTGGGCACAAATATTATCATTCTTCTTTTTTGAATATTTATTGATTATGAACTAATAGCACCTACCAACGGCCGAGCTTCAAAACTGTAAACGTTGGTACATCGATGCGGTGAAGGAGTTGACTGTTACGGCAAACGAGCTGGTTGCTTGTAGGTTTTTGTGGTTTTACCATGTGTAGTATGAAATACCAGCTCTTTTACCTTAAAGAATTTTCTTCGAAAACATTCTTTGTCATAGGTAAATAAACTTCGTATATTTTACTATAATCTGAATAATGCTAAACCTGATCTGTAAAGATAGTTGAAAGTAATAAATATATTTCGAAGTTGAATTTATGAAGTTATTATTAATTAAAGGAAAATGAATTTGAAATATTTTAAACATAAATTTTTCAGACAAAATGAGCTTCAAAAACAGATATTTAACAAATAAATATAATAAAATGCAATAAATAGCATATTTAAAAGACAGAGATCTATATTAGTATCATATTAAATTTAAATGAATCACAATAAATAGAAAAAGAGAGCTAAAAAAATTTTATATTGTTAAACAACTAAGCAGTGACACGCCTATACATTGTTGCAAATTTTGTATGTATGTAAATAATTTGAGTGAAATTATAGTATCTTTTCTACAATATAACATGAAAAGTCTGAAGAGATCGGAGCGCTGCCAGAAAAATAACATTACAGGGGCAAGTCGCTTTAACACTGATGTAAAACGGCTATCTCGCTAAACTGGCAAAATTTCGCCAAGCTGGCGATCGTTTCGGTGGCTAATTTTTTTCGCCAAACATGGCGAGAAAGCCCTAAAAGTTGAAAATTTTGGCTACCATTTGGCGACATTTTGGTCTGGTTCCTGTATAACTGTTATTGGTAGTGTAACTGAATAACAAAAATTGATCCCTAATATGTAGCTGTAACCGTATTCAGCCCTCGTATGTAACTTTACCATATATAACTTTCAGTAATTTCGAGAAGCGGAAGGTGCTACAGACTTCTTGTCGACTGAAGTAAAACTTCCTAAGCCCGTAGAGAGCACTAGTTCTCAGTTTTCATTTCAGAGTTGACTTCGAAGCATTGAGAGATCTCCTTGAAAGCTTCGCCTTTTAGATGCGCTTTGCATTGCTTTGTGTTTAACATTTTTAGCAGTTTGTAGTGTAACTACTGATTGTGGTCTGTGATACTGAGAAGTGCTAAACGAGTATTATTGTGGAAAGTTCTGGAACTATAAAGTGTTCCTTTGGTAAAATGAATTCCCTCAAGCTATTATCTGTTCTGCGTGCATTCAATCCACTATCCGAACGCACGTAGCAATGTTCATTGAGATCATGTTCATTGATCAGTGATCAATGTCACTGATCAACCACAGAATGTGAAAATTAAAACAGGATCGCCGTCCTGCAGTGGACGGTGAGAAAGTTTCAGTGCGTCGCGAAGAAAAGTTAGTTTTTTAAAATTTTATAACTATATATATTTATTTTAAATTTGTAATCAATTTAGTTAATTTTTAATTGTTAATACAATTTTTCTTGTTGATAGTTAAATAATTAAAAGATTATTTTCTTCAAAGTTTGCTCTTTATATCCCTCTTTCGTTGAGATACATGTGCCATTCTTGTATGGTAACATGAAAACACTTATGGTTGCTATATCAAAACGTTTGGAAACATTTACGTAGTGAAATCTTTAAGGAACTTTTATTGCCAGAAAGACGAGTAGTACTGTTATTCCCTCCTGTACCTTAAAGTGGCTTTGGAATTGCTCTTTTTTGCAATTAATGCCCACCGATTACGCTTTTTTTTGGTAACATCTATCTTCCTTCCTAAAACCTTATCAGCTTTAAATGATTATTTTCCTTTCCGCTTATTTAAAACTATCTTCTGGAAAGGCCATATATATTTGGTCTACAATACTTCTGTAATGCCTTTAAGAAAGAATATATACATGGATCTTGAAATATGTCGAAGAAATTAGGGAAATATATTAAGAATACATAAATCCGGGTACAAAGTATTAGGGGGATTATTTGGGAATTAAAATCGTGAAAATACCACTTCCTCTTCTTCATAATTGAAAGTTTAGTTTAAGAAGTTTTTATGGAAATTATGAAAACTTTCTAAAATACTGTTATTCCATTTGCATAATAATTTAAATGTAAACTGCCATAGGTTTATTTTAATTGTTTATCTTGAGTAAAAAAAGATTCTGTTCCATGAAGGTATTAATATTGTTGCGAAAAGCCCAGCTGCAGCAAGATGGCTTCTCTTCAAAGACGGATTATGGTTGCAGAAAGTGGGCCAGAAAAGGCAGGGTTGCCAGATTTGACGCAAAATCGTCTACTTGGCGACACAATTGTCTGAGCCAGGATATTCTAGAAAGAATTCTTACCGGTTTTCCCGAAAATGTTATCGAAGGCAGGTCAAAATCTATAAATACCCTGCATATATACGGAGTAGCAGTTTATCATGAAAAGTATTTTAAGTTAAATAGTAGTGTTTTGAGTTCCGGATAAGCGTGAGAGCGATAGAACCGAGTCGGGAGCTGTACATTAGAGCTTTGTCTTGAAGCAGTTTTCACCGTTATAGCCTGAAGACTGTGTTCCTGATAGTTTTAGAGTGTTATCGTAGTTTTTCGACGACTGTAAACGTGTCTCTGGAACTGTCCTGTGTAATATTGGCGAATAAATTGTATTTTGATGCTTCATCAAATGTTGTCATCAATCATTCCAAATCCACGAACCCGTAGATGGCAACAATATAATAATAGATGAAGATTAAATTTTTTAAATAAAATATCTTCAAGTTTTATTTGATATTCCATTTGATTTTAAGCCATGCGTAAAACTCTATTGAAATAAGTTCTTGTATAAGTGTCCGACTAGAACCGTAATAAATAAAATATCAACGAAATTTAAGTGGTATAATTTTTTCATTTTCTTCTTCATTCCCGCTACTTAAATGTTTATTCAAAAATCTGCCTTTAATCAGTTTTGCGAAAAGTTTGAAATCAATGTTTCGTAGTCATTGTAGCTTACAGAGGCCCCAAAATTAATGTTTGCATTTAGCAGATTGTATCTTTCAGCTATTTTCACAA